AGATAGATAGATAGATAGACGAACTAGTAAATCGATTGTATTAAGTATATTTTTTTAAGGATCGTGTATTCTTAAGTAAATTTCTATCTCGCTAAACAATATGTCAATTTACATCTAATTGTTCTTTTAATACTTCATCGATATTATTATATCAAACTAAATTGAAAGTATGCTTGTAGCCAATACACAAAGTCAATGAAATCCAAAATAAACTAAATAGATTTTAGCATTCAATTATTCAATTCAAGACTTTACATGAAACAACACAAATACATCATATAAATCTAGAGTTGTACAAGCTTAGTTTATAATTTTATTGCTAAGAACATAAACCTAATCAAACATTACTGAAGAATTTATATAGATATTAATTTTGAAAAATAAAGAATTAGATTTGATGAAAATTTTGTTCCGTAGTCTTTCTTATCCTTCCTTCTTTATTCAGCAATAGTCACTTTACAACTATTTCTTGCTCTATGTCCACACTCTAACGCTCACAAAATTTTCCAACCCTCCTAAAATTCCTTTACTGGCAGCACACTGACCCAACATGAATAACTCTCTAAACCATACAAATAACACCCAATCAGCTTTGAAATTACTTTAGAACTAAATATATCTAGTTGTCATATTGTATTGTTCTCTCATGCGATGTCGCGGTGCTGTGCGCTATATTTTCTATTCTAAATTCACATAATGTAGCATCACAATCCTAATCTCCAGTGCCAAGGATTTAAGCTCTCTAATTTTTTGCCCATTTTTGCATCTTCTGGCACCAAGGCACTCCACCATGTGCTTCCAGAACACCATAATCTCAAGCTTGAATATTATTTCCTTCTATCTTCTGATGTTGCACAACACCGTATATCTGTGTTGCGACCCTGAGCTATCAAATTTTCTTATATATCAATTTCTTCAAGTCCCAAGCATCATACACTCCAAAATTTTGTGCCAAGATACCAAGCTCCTTTTGTTTGTACTTATTCTCTGCAATAAATGGTGACACGGTCCATAGGCGTTTTTTTTTATTTTCTAAACTTTTCGTCTCTTCTCATATAAGAAATTCCTATACCAAACATCACAATTAATGATAATACATCGAAAACATTTTTATTTTTACTTCAATTTCCTATTTATTTCTTAAATATTTAGTTCACTCAATTCTCTAAATGGATGTGTTAAAAGAGTTTAAGAAGAACTATCCAAGCAGGCTCAAAACAAACATACTTGCGAGAATGAAAGCAAAGATGCCAATTGACTTTAAGGAAGACTTGGTTGTCAAGTTCATGGAGGACTCATTAAATTCATAGTAAATTCATTAGACAATGTGAGATTGATCACCCAAGCATAAGTGCTACTCAACAATTTCGATTAGAACGAACAATTTTCTCTCTAACAGCTAACCAAGTACTAATCCTAGTGTAAGGTTAGATGCATCTTATATTTTACAGTAAAAAATTGATTGAACTTGTTTTATACTTTTTATGTGTGTTGCTCTGTCGGCAACATCTATAGTACTCAAATCTCAATCCTCATCTATAAATGAGAGTTGTAAGAAGAGCTGAGGTTATGAAAAATTGCTCAAAATTATTGTATTATTAATTGAAATTACGCTATATTCTTTCTAAGCTCTCCCTCCACTAACTTCCCTGCCCTTCTTCATGCTCTTCTCTTTTTCCTCAATTCAAAGTAAGATTTTGGTATAATCCAGGGATAAACATAATAAAATCACTTTCATTTCTTATTTGCTATACTAAATTTTCCTTTTTCATTTTCGTTATTTTTGTGTTCCTCTTCTTGGCTACTGGCCCTTATACGATGTCATTAACTGAAATACTCCTTTTAAATGGTGGTGAGTTGAAAATTTGATCCTTGAAACAATTCTCCTTTGAACAAGTGCTTTGACTCTAAACTAAATTCAAAATAAATCCGCTACAACTCATCTTAATATATTTCTAATCGGGCTCTTTGGAATTGTCTTTGTGAATTCTCCTTTCTTTTGTTGCTGAGTTCCTAATAGATTTGGAGTTATAGCTTATGAATGTTTCGCTAATTATCTTAAAAGAAGAAAACATGAGGATATAGTAATGCTTAAAAATGACAACTTGCTTTTATTTTTGTTAAAGAGTCGTTAGATCTCAGCCTAGAAGAGTCGTGGAGGCCACATGAATGCCTTTACGCTCCCTAATAGTGCAGTTCCACAAAGTATAGAATAGTTAGATGGTGTAGTTGGGACTTGGCATCCTATCAAATAAACCTATACATAAAATAGCAGAAGTTGACTTTAGGTGAGACAAATCAGAAGAAAAATAATTTCACATATTTTTATATCGGTTAGTCTCTAAAACGATGTAATAAAATATACGAAACAGGGTTTAGATGACCGATTAAAAAGATAATTTCACGCAACTTTTGACGCAAAAAGCAGGAAGTAGAAATTTTTTATTGTAGATTTGTTTGGGAATATAGTTCGTATTTATGTGTATTATAAGTAGGGCTGTCAAAAAAAGCTCGTTGTTCGCGAACAAGGTCGTGTTCGGTTCGTCAAAGAGTTCGTGTTCGATTCGTTCGATAAGTAAACGAGACAAACACGAACAAATTTTTCTCGTTCGGTTAGTTAAACAAACCAAACACGAACAGTGATGCGTTCGTTCGTGTTCGAATCGTTATTGTTTGAAATATAAAATAATATAAAATAATTATATATAAAAAATTTATTATATTTTAAAACATTAAATTTTATAAATTATAATATATAATAAAATAATAATAATAATAATATAATATACTATAGTAGTAATATACTAATATAGATATGGTATATTTATATAATATAAGTTATATAATTAATATATAATATTATTTTTATATATTAAAATTAGGGATGTCAAATTGGCTCATCGTTCGTGAACAGCTCTTGTTCGGTTCGTGTTCGGCTCGTTCGTTAAGAAACGAACACGAGCTTATTTTAAACAAACTAAATTTTAAACGAACCGAACACGAACACAAGCTTTGTTCGTTCGTGTTCGGTTCGTTTACACCCCTAATTATAAGCCCCAATAATACAGAAAATTTCATCGAGAGCTCTTTTTGAAATGGGCCTTAAAGTTTTTATATTTTTACTATTTTGCTGAATAAAAAAATATGGATTTTTTAATACAAACTTATCTGGCGTCGGCTCATTTAAGAAAGATTTACATACAAATCACTCAATTCTTACGTATTTACATATCAAACCCCTAAGATTCAATGTTTACATTCCGTTCCTATGCATTGAAAAGTATATTAAGATTTTCAAAATAATAAATAGTGGTCTTTTTTTTTGTGATATGAATGATTTGGATGGTATAAATATAGAAAGCAAAATTTAGGACTTAGATGGGTAAATATATAAAAAATGGCTGATATTATGTAAATGCCTCGTATTTTAACATAAAATGTAATTAAAATAGTAATTTAAAGCTAGGAGATTATGAGGCCCATGAACGATACTACTAGGTGGAGAAAAAGATGATTGAGTGATCCATGCACCGACCATTCAATAAGAAACGAGACAAAAGAACACATGAACCAATCACTATAAGAAAGTCAACCTGATCAGATAGCGAACCCTTTAGTAGAACCGATCTAAGAGAAAATCCAATTCCACAGTATCTCCAACCATCCCATTAGTACTCCAATAACTTATCACAATGGATAAAAAGATTGATAGTAGATCAGCCAATCGACCTATGCCGACCAAGCTCATCCAACCAATCTGATCCCATTTTGCCAAAGTCAACTAAGTTTAGTCAGCCAAACTAGAAAGCAACTGAACAACAAGCACATGCATATAAAATATAAAAAATACCCTATTACGGACCCCTTTCCAAATAGGGGCAAAAATATAATATCATAATTATATTATATCCAATATAAATTAGATGAATAAGGCATCATTAATTAATGTTCATTCTCTCTCTACCACCCCCTCTCCTTCTCTCCTTATTTGCACTATATTTCATGGTGGTGACTCATGGACAAATTTGTAATGTATTCGACTCCATGGATAAAATTGGACCACGCATATTTTCAGCTTCACGCCAAAGTTGATTTAGAAACAATTAAAGTATAAGTGCGAGATATGTAAATGCGTGAGAATTGTGTGCTAGGTATGTAAATTTCCCTTGGATTTCTATGGAAAATAAAATTGTCACACTCTTCAATTTTAGTTTTAAGAAGTTTGATAAATATTAATTAATAATCAAATATTAAAAATTGTAGCTTAGACCTTTTTAATTAAAATTTTGGAGAATTATTTATGTAAATAATAGAGCTTTTTCCACTTAAAAATACTTGAAATTAAAAGCTAGAAGGGAAAGGTTTTATTAAAAAAAAAGTATGATTCCATGATAAACCATGTCACTGCCTAAATTTTAACCGTATATTTTTTGAGAAATTGTGAGCAAAAAAAAAAAAAAAAAAATTGAACTTTACTTTTTTAAATTGAGAATAAACTTTTAAAAAAAATAGCTATGTCGCAAAACATAATTTTCTAAATTTTAGATAAAAAAATATTTTTAAAACTGATTAATAGTTTAATTGGGCTGTGAATTCAGCTCCAACATTCTTAATCGATCAAAAATTAATTTGAACTTTCATTCACATTGAAATAAGCGAGCTGAGCTATAACCAAAAAAAATATGGAACAAATTTTTTCTGAGCCAATTTCTATCCGACCTTAGCTCGGCTCAAAATTGAATTAGTAACAGCCCTGATGATATTAGAAGTGTGAATTTAGTGAATTCAGTTTGAAGATTATTAATAGCTTGAAAATTGATTCGAATTTAGCTTGAATCGAAATCAAATCAAAAAAAATTGAGCCGAGTTATGAACCAAAAATTTGAAAGGAAAATTTTTCAGACTGATTTTAAGCGACTCGAAATCGGATCCTTTCCAAGTGATGAATAATTTTCCAACAAATATTGCAAATGTCCAGAAAGAGAGTAAAAAAAACATACTTGAATACTTGTAGTTGCATACTTCAGGAGTGTTGATATAGTGAAGAGGGCTAGCCCAGCGATACCGGAACCGAACCTGGTCAGCCCACGGGCACATCGTCGAAAGTTCGCCGGCGGCCACCTCCGGCAAGAGATCCTCCACCGCCTTCAGCGTCTTCTCCGTCAAATACGGCTTAATTCAACCACGCACCCAATTTCCGAATCCACAGTGAGATTCATAAACAACAATTAACATTATCTTAAGAAAAAGGGAAAACAAAGTGAGATTATTGAAGTAAAGGGGCGAGGTTTTTAGATTCTGCTACCTCTGCTATTTTGCAGGCCATGATGTGCCCTTCTTTCCCCCATGCGTCTCCCAATGGAGCTCTTGCAATTATAACTGAGAGGAAAAAGATGATAAGGAGACGGAACGAGAGAAGCCCCATGGATTGGTTGGCCTTCTCCTTCCTCCCCCAACTCTTTTGCTAAAATGAACACATTTGTGAAGGGTAAGCCTGACTTTCTGTTTTATTTTGTTTTATCGCTACGGCGAAAATTTAATAGGGGGATTTACTTACATACCACGAAAACACCTAAACTTAATTAATATTTACTGTTCTACCACCAAATACTTTTGAAACCAATTTGTAATGTCTGTCCGTTCGCTCCGTTAAGCCCCGTTACTCCTCATCCCCTTCATCAGCAAAGCCCATGCATTCCTTCGCAAAACTCACGCACGCAAGCTCTTCTTTGTAAGCCGCATTCCTGTGACTCCCCTCTCCCATCTGAAACGCCTCTTATTCTCACATGAAACCTCTTCGTCCGCAGCAGCAGCTCTCCACATCTTCTCATTTTGTCCCGCAGAACTTTATACAGGCTCCTTTCCAAGCAAGTGAAACACCCCTCACCGGATTCTCTCTTGACTGTAACAGGAACAACATCTCCTTGTGCTTACGACAGTATTCGCTACAGAAAAATGCTAGGTTAGCATCTAAATTAGGGACGGAGATACTTTCGGCATAAAATTAGCATCTGATTTGCATTTGTTAAGCGTCGCTCGGGATCTCTGGAAATGTAAATAACAACGTGGACGAATTATTCTGTCTAGCTATTGAAGTTGAGTCGATGTTGTAGCGTCGGATTAATTTCTGAGTCAGTCGAGACTATTCCGACACTAATGCCCTATAAACCCCCCATCTCGAACTACAACCGACACTTTCTCCTTTTCTCTTTCCAGTCGCAAATTCCTCCCCTCCAACGCTCCTCCGTCTGCTAGCTCGGTTTCCAATATTTCAAGCTCGTTTTCACCGCTCATTAACCTTTGTCCAAGATGAGAAATCATTATCTACGCCTCCAAGCTTCGATAGCCAAACTACCGCTGCTCAATCCAATTTTGAGCTGTCACGGCCGGACAAAAAGGAGAGAGGGCGTACGACCTATGCGCAAAAGAGATCATTTGAGGCCGAGCGCTCTTGTGCAGCTATGAGTGGCCTTAACTCATTACAGACTCAACATGAAGAGCGTACTAGCTGGTGATGATGATGATTGAAGAGCTCCGAGAGGTGCATGAATGCTGGCAGATGGTTCTGGATAGTCAAACATGTCTGGCGTAGAGTTTTGATCGTCGGGGCGAGCAACATATGAGTGCTGGAATGAGCAAGAGAAGGATGAGAAGCAAGATTAGGATTTTTATTATATATTTGTTGTTGTTCCCTTCCATAGGGCCTGATTATATGTTTTTTTTTTATTTTTGTTAAACTAAACATTCAATTTTTTAGTTGTGAACTTTGAACATTTTGAACTGTTTATATTAAATTAAATTTGTTATCATTATTTAGATATGTTAGTGATTTCTTTTCTCAGTTGTGATGATATATAAAATGTTCTATTATGTTGTTTTTATTTGTTTTATGCAAGTTTGTGAAAATCTAATCGTTATGTTCCTTTTTTTTTTCTTATAATTTTGAGTTGAATTAGTATGATATATTCTGACACAAGAACTATAATAATCACTTTGATGCATGTCATCATTAATTTGACATTATGTGTTAATGTACGTTTGGAAAAAAGCAGACATTAGTTAACTTCTACAATGGTGGACACAAATTAGCATCCACTAGTGTTGGTGCAAATTAGCGCCCATCGTGGTCGACCCTAAGATGACGTTAAGTTAGCATTTGCCTTTTTCTCGATGAAAATGCACAACGACAGAATCATGAGACACTAATTTTGCCGTAAATAACCTTAAATAAAAATCTATTGCAAAAGTCGAATTAGCGATGCCTATCTAACGCCAACATTTTTTCGACACCCATCTAAGCCTTAACTTGATTAGCATTGAAAATTTGTCTGATTAACTTCAGAAATGTCCATAACTTGTATCGTAGCAACCCCCCAAACTACCAACTGCTCCCTACTGCATCTCCTCCTACCTGAATCCCCATTTGCAGCAGACATTCAAAATTATTTGAAAAGAAAATATTATAATAGAAGCACCAATAAGAAAGATGCCTAGAAATGATGACACCACAAGTGGATCTAAAATGCATCTTCCTTTATAGAAGAATCTCTACAAAAAATTAGGACAAAAGTCTTAAATTTGAATAAAATTGAATAAAATTCATTGGGTATTTATGATACATTCCATAAATATTTTGAAAATTATTTGTTGTACAATTAAAGAAGATCATATAGATTTTCTTTAAAAAATAAGCTTGTGGGAAATTTTTATTGTCATATCCATCATAGGTATTCAAGAAGATTTATTTCTAAGTGGTTAGACACGACATTTGAAAAATATTATACCACCATGGGACTGATCCCCTGGATGAGGAAGGCCTCCTTAACTTATAGATCTACCAAGCCATGGTTTTTCCCTAAACTTACGAAGGTAAGATAAGGTTATCTTATTATGGGTCGAATTTTCTTATGCATGAATTTTCTCATAGTTAATTGCATCTCAGAAGTTGTGACTTCTGAGAACACTCTCAATTAATGTGTTAGCTTATATCAGACTAAATTGATCGAAAAATGTTTGTACAATGATTGAAATTGAGACACATATTGATGGATTTAAAGTTGGAATGGTGTGAGTGGAGTTGAGGTTTTTGGCGAGCTTCACCTAAATTTAAGGTTTGACTTTGCTATGTTTTGATTTCATTTTAAGGATTATTTTAGTTGATTTGCTATCACTTATATAAATGAATTGTTTTGAATATTCTTTTAACCTATTCATTATTGGTTATTAATTTTAAATTTTAATTTAGAGATTATCAAAGTTCTTTTAAGGTTCATTAAGCTAGATATTTGGATCTGATTAAGTTTGTTAAAGCTTTAGGATGGATTAAAGTCGATTAAAATTTATCAAGGTTCATTAAGGTTCACTCAATGATATTTATTAAACTTGACTTAAGTTAATAAAGTTTTATTAGGGTTTGTTTATCAAAATCCATTTAAGTTTTATCAAAGCTTATTAAGGATTGTTCATATTTTCTTAAGATTTTTTGCCTAAGAACTTTTATTAAATTCACTTAGAAGATTTGTTAAAAATCTGTTAAATTTGATTTCTTAAAGGCGTGATTAATTATGATTTCCTTGGGCTTATTAGTGTTGGTTTAACTTATTAAACTTTATTTAGATTTTAGTTGGTGGATGATCAATCAAAGTTGATTAAAATTTGTTTGGTTTTGATTAAAGACAATTAAGTTTAATTAATTGTATATTTGGGATTTTAATGTGAATTTTAGATTTGTGGAACCTTGGGTTTGGGCCAAAGAAGTGAGGATTGAAAACTGAGAATCCAATATTGAGCTTATTAACTGGTTTGAATTGAGTTGAATTGGTTTGAAGTTGATTGGAATTGGTTTAAGGTTGAATTGGACTTGATTTGAAAATGGTTCAAAATTGGATTAATTTTGAAGTTAGTCTAAATTGATTCAAGTCGAAGTTTGGACTTAATTTGATTTATATTGGATTGATCCTAGGCTAGAGGTAGGATAGGTTTAAGAGATTTTTTGATAGAAGTGAAGCCTTAATCCTAAGATACCTCAAATAGGAGGATTATTGAGCGTATTGACATAAATTTTGAGAATAATACTATAGGTCAACATGCTTTTGCTATCTATTATTTCGGGTGCATTGGTATCCTCAGATTATTAACCAGTTGAATAATATGAGTTATTTCTTGTCATTAAAGCAATGACTATGGTAGACTGTCATATTATTGAGTTCTTTGGAGTGATAAAAATCTAATCTAAAGAGAATGGTTAAATTTTGGAAAGTCCTTATATAATAAAAATCCCTTTCTCCATGCAATGAGATCATAATCAGTGTAGGAATCAAAATGTTTAAAAGTTTAAATGATATATTGTGACAAATAGGAGCATACCTATTATTTACCATCTTACAAGTACATAAAGAACATTGGTTAATCCATAGTTAAGTTCCTAAATCCTTGGTTAAGCTGGGAAGATACTAGCTCTCACTCTAGATTTCCTACTATCCCTCGGCCTGGAGGCTAACATTTAGTCTTAGTTTCCCAACTTCTGGATCAAATTACTGGTTCTAGTCTATCACTCTAGAATCACCAATTTTAGCGCCAAACTTAGCTCCCTATATTTTTGCATTCTCCTTAGATTTTAGTTGCCCTCCCAGTAAGGTTAGTGTGGTACACACTACTTGATGAAATTATGGTCCTCGCGAATCATTATGTTTCACAAAAAGTTTTAACATTACAAGTGACCAGTTTGCAAAGTAAATTAAGAACCGATGAAAATACTATCACAATTTTGAAATAAAAGAAATCTTCAAACCAATCTAATCCCACAAATGATTTAATCTCATCATAAGGATAAAGAGTAAGGAAAACTACTCACTAAGTATGGAAAAAAAACACAACAAAAAACTTCGTTTAAATCAAAGCAAATTCACTAAAAAAGTTTCTATAACAATTAATGATAATGAATAAAAAAATACTTAGCTTTTTCCTCTGAAAGAAAGAAGAAAATCCCTCCAACAATGTCTCCTGTTGATCCACACAAACTTCTTACAATTCCTTTCAGATATCTCTCAAAATCTGTTACTAATTATTGATCTCACTTTGTGCTGAGGTCTAGTCTTTTTTCCTTAGGAGCCTAGGATCTAGCCATAAAACTTTCTTGTTGAATATCCGAAAAGACTAGTGATGTGATGGAGCCCTCACCATTAGAAATTCCAAATGCTTCTTTGCTTTTCTTAGACTTTCCCCATAGAACAGTTTGACCTTAGGGTTAACCCTGGGTGATGTGGCTTGATCTAGTACACACACACTTGCACTTCACACTTCAACTTGCAACCTTGAACCCTAACCTACACATGTATAGTTTGGTCACCTTGCCATTTTGGAGACTCATGTGGGTGGTTCCTGATCATTTCCATCAAAACTTAACCCTACCCAAATTTCAAATTTTGGCCTTTTAGCCCTAAATTTTCCCAAAATTACCAAATTGCCTCTGGAACCCTAAAATTCAAGGTTGACCCAAATCCCTCAATGTTATTCAAAAATCATTTCAAACCATTTCATA